GAGGGTGGGTCGGGGAGGCGTCGCTGCCGGGAGAGGCGGGTGATGTCAGGCGTGTGTCAGCAGTGGGAGGTGAAGCCGGGGAGCGGAGCAGGAGCAGGGAAGGATGGCAGGACGAGGGCTGCTGCTCGTCCTACTCTTCCCATGTCACCCTTAACGCTGTCTGGGGAGAAGGGGACGGTGCTGTGGGGAGGTGAGTGCGGGGACACGGGGGCTGTGTGGGGACACGGGGGTGGCCGAGCCACCGGGGCTGAGCTGGGGATCCCTGTGTGCTGGAGCACCCCCGGGTGCTATTGCTCAATGCCCTGACGTACTCTGTGAGCTCTGTTCTCTTGGATTTTCTTTTTTTTTTTTTAATGTATTTATTTAAAACTTCAATGGCGAGTTATAGAGAGGGCACTTCTGAAAGTAGTGTGACCGGTCAGGGTGCCTTTCGTACAAAGATAAACTTAAGCAGCAGAGTAAAACTTCCAAGATCTTTTCGAAAGTGACTTATTAGTCCAAGGAAGTGACATTTCCCCTCACTACATTTTTCATCTAGCAGGATCTAATAATACATTGTAGTACTAGAAAGGAAAGCTTTAACTAAACAGAGGGAAAGGTCGCTGGAAGAGCTGGAGTTTTCCCCAACAAACATGTGCACTGAGTTATGCTTCATTTATGATCCATGTTAAGAATGTTTCAAATGCAGCATGGCGCAATACATAATTTTTTTTTTGCTAAACTTGAAGTTCCTCCATCATCAGAGCACAGTGTGTCAGGCTTTGGCAGAGGTCGGGGGGGAAAGTCCTGTGTCTGGGGACACTTGATGTGGTGGCTGCACCCGTGGAGGCTTTGGAAAAACTGTGGGGGGGGAGGGAGTTGCTGTGGTGACCCCAGTGCCTCGGTGGATCGCTGGTTTTGCAAGCTGATCTCTCCCACTTGATGCTGGCCCTGCCTGCCCAGCCTGGGTGGAAGCACCTCGGGTACCCCCATGTGGGCTCCAGCTCTGGGAAGGTGGCTGGTTGGGAACTACAGCCTGTGTTGCTGCTCTGGTGCACCCCGTCATCTTCAGGTCATGTCCCTGGGGACAGCTGTATATGTCTGTGTGTGTGCCCAGGCATCCAGGCACTGCTGGAGAGGGGACTGGAGGTGATACAGCAGAACCCTGCACCCAGGGGACAAGGAATAGCTCAGCCAAAGCTGGGCTGAGAAGATGCAACCTTGATGGATCATCCCCCTCCAAGGGTGGCTAGTGCTGGTGCAAAGGGAGAGCAGATTCGTATGAAATTCTGATCCCACGGGTGCAGCTGCCAAGCCCTGCTTGACTTTGATCTCTTCTCCCAGCTGGCACTTTGCAGGAAATCTGTGGTTTCCTTACAGAAGTATGCGCTGTGGGGTGGCTTCCTCCTGTAGCTGCTCTTTCTCTCTACGTGTTGTACCCCTGCTCCAAAATGTCATGCTGAATCTCTCACCCAGTGTCTTCAGAAGAGTAAGGTCTTGGTTTTCCCCCAGCTGCTGCCGTTCCCTGGGGATGTGTTGACTGAGGGAAGAGACCATAGGTGTCTATGCAATTACTTTGTCTAGAGATTTTTCTGTTTAATCAGAGAGAAAAGGACTTCAGCTGCCCTCCCCAGTTCTCTGTGAGCTTCTAGTGGTGAAAATAAATGTTCCATTGATGGAACGAGATGTTGTCACAGGCAAAATCCACAATTTGCAATGCATGTCTGTAAGAGTGTGACATTACTTGAGGGCCATCCTATACATTTCTATGTATGTGCTTATTTTAATTGATGTTGTGAATGTTGTTACTGCTGAGTCCGTGCCAATAGCTGAACATACATGGGAATTGTAATTTGCTGGAATGACATAATCTTGTGGGGAAAAGACTGGTGATTCTTGTAGTGACAGTGTTCTGCTTCTCTCTCCCAATTCCTGTAGCTATTTCAATGGAAACAGCTGGAAAATCTCTACTTTCGTGAAAAGAAGTTTGCTGTGGAAGTACACGATCCCCGCAGGTGAGGCTGGAGGAGGCAGTTGTAGCAGTGGGATGGTTCTTTACCCAGGCTAGGGATTTGTCACCTCGTGGCAGGGGATGGGAGGTGCCTCTGATTTTACTCTGGGCTGTGTGACACTGAGCCTGATCCTGCCTTCAGTGGGACAGACTGGGGCTGGGGCTGGGCTGCTGGTGACAGACAAACGGTCCTGTGATGTTGCAGAAGAAAGGTCACAGCCACAGTGAGCAACCTGGAGCATCTGTTGCTGTGTGACAGCTCTGGGTGTCCTTCTCTTGAATTGCCTGTGTTATCCCCCAAGGGAGTTCTTGGAGCAGAGGGAGGACTATTTGTCATGGCCAAATTTGTTCACTTTACAAAACCTTTCCCTGAGAGGCTGCTGTAACATGCCTGTGCAGCAGGAGACCAGGAATGCAGCCTGAAGGACCTGGACGTGACTTTATTGCTCACCTTCTGCCCTCCCTCCCCTGCCTTGGCAGCGATGCTCCCTCCTCTGAGCTCGAGTCTGCAGGGCCCGAAGGAGCACCACCGGTTGGGGTGGGAGCTCACCTGCAGGCTGCTTTCCCGTGCCTTCCCCTCAGGATCCCTCCCAAGAAGAAAGAGATTTTGCCCAGGGTGAATTTTTGACTCCACCTTCTGTTCTGCTTCTCCTGCTGCCATCCTTTCTTCCTCTGGCACAGGACCTCTGTGCCTCTCAGCTGGGCCAGGAGGAGCTGCAAGATGGTCTCCTGCCTCATCCTGCCTGATCTCTCCTTTCAGGATCCTGTGGCAGCCTGCTAGCCATTCCTAGGTTCATGGTGTACCCAACCATAGGTCCCAGCAGCACAATTGTGCTGCTGAACTAAAAGGCACAGCAGTTGCTGCTACTCGGTGTTGTAAAGCTTGACCAGGAGGGACTTGAACTTTGTAAAATTAAAGGAAGGTTAGGAGGGAGGTAAGGCAGCAGCACAGGGTGGTGGGGGGAAGGAAACCGGAGTTTTCACATCTCTAAAATAAAGGCTGAGCCTTGCCTGGATAAGAGAGAGAGGCATCTGGGACTTTGAACCTCAAAGACCTGTCTTGAAATTGCATTTCTTTTCACCTCCTCAGAATTTCAGTGTCGAGAAGGACCTTTGGCCAGAGCGGACTGGTAGTGCAAACCTGGTATGCAAACACTTCCCTGATCAAATCCATCTGGGTGATGGCAATCAGTCAGCACCAGTTTTACTTGGACAGAAAGCAAAGCAAAGTAAGTTACAAGGCATTTTACTGTGAGCATAAGTTTCAACACCTTTCCCATATATCCCCCAGTGTATGTTTTTCCATGGATGAACTGCTCTCCTGAGAAAAACTACAAATTGTTTTTGTCAGCTTTTTGAGCAGTCTATTAGCGACAGTATTGTTATTTGATCCATTTTAGTCTGCCTGCAATTAAAGGCTATGGAAGCTTAATCACAGAAGAGGGAATTCCCACCTCCCAGTGTTTAATCTGCTTTTTCTTTTGCTTCCTTCTCGTGTTCGTTTTGAACACAGTGCAAATAGCAAAGAGATTTTGGGCTGGGAGATGGTTCAGGCTTTGGGGGCAGAGGGGGAGAGGAACGCCAGCACAGCCCTGTGCGCCGCCAGCTCCTGCATGATCCTGTTCCTTTAGTCCTTAATTTTGTGGGAGATGAGGTGTGAAACGTCATCTTGTGACCCTGTGTTCTGAAGTTAATTAGAGGTAACTCAATGAGGAGGCTGGATTTTTTATTTATTTATTTTTTTAAACTGCCTCAGGCGAAAATTCCTTCAGCCAGAAGTTTGGATGATATCGCCATGGATCTGACAGAGATGGGAACACCAAAGGTTTCAAAGTTGGTGACTCTGGAGGCAAAGAACCAGCTTATTATGGCCAGCAATGGCAGTTTGATCTCATCAGGTAATACTTTGTGTAAATTCCAGGTTGTGAAGTACAGCGGGGCTTGTGTATGTTAAAAGGGAAAATGAGGCCAGATGACAATAAATACAGTGACTTATGCAAAGGCCAGTATTAGTTCATGTATTTGAAACAGTAACATCAGTGGTATAATCTGCTGTTTCCCTCCATAATTAAATAAGGAAATAAAAATATGCTAGATGGACCAAGAGTACATGGGTACTTACCCATGAATAATTTGATATTAGTTTACCAGTGAGTCCTCGAATGGCTGAAAGCCTCATCAAAGTCTGAGGGAAATTTGATCCAGGTTAATTTTAAGCACTTGTTCTAGGAGTTGAATTGCCCCCAACTTCCTCAAAAACAAGCAAAGATAAATGCTTCCAAATAAAGCTCAGCTCTGAGGTGGACTTTTGGTCTGTCCCTTGACTCTGGAAGAGGGGTAACGGGGGGAGGTGAAAGCCTGGCTGCCACATGCAGATGCCTCCAGGTGAAGGCCAAGCAAGGAGCTTCAGGATCTGCCTCGAAAGTGAAGTCAAAGCCCAAATATCAAGTATATTGTAGATACTGCTAGTGCAGTGATTTTTATTTTAGTGCTAGTGCAGTGATTTTTATTTTAGGTGGTGGGGTTTTGGGGTGTATACTTAGAACTTACCATGCAAGTATATACAATGGGGATTTGAAAAAGTCCGGCTTTCCTAAAAACCTGCTTGCTGGATGAGACAAGAGTTGGATGTTACGCTTTGAATAATGTGTTGTTTTGCTGGGCTGGACTGCTTTGGAGAGATCTCTGCTTACTTGACCAGAAAAAAACCAAAAAGGGCTTTTACCTGCAAATCCTCTGATACAGAGAGTGTATTTTTCAGGCTCTCAGGATTCAGAGGTCAGTGAAGAACAAAAGAAGGAGAAAATTATGGAACTAAAGAAGAAAGAGAAACTTCTTCAGGAAAAACTGCTTCAGAAGGTTGAGGAGCTGAAGAAAATCTGCCTGCGAGAGGCGGTGAGAACTGCACCTTAGGCTGGGGTCGGGGTGGGTGAGAGCCCTTCTGTCCCTCTGGACCTTCATGTGGAACCCTCTCTGTTCCCCAGGAGCTGACGGGCAAGATGCCCAAGGAGTATCCTCTGAGCGCTGGAGAGGAGCCTCCCCAGGTGAGAAGACGTGTTGGCACGGCCTTCAAGCTGGATGACAACCTGCTCCCCAGTGAAGAGGTGAGCACTGCAGTTTGTTTTCACAGCAGAGGTGGGGTGGCCAGACCAGTGGCCCAAAGCCACTTGTAAATAATCCAGCTCTTCCCTGATTGTTTAAGAGGAGGCAGCTGGGACAGTCGCTTGCATGGGCTGGGGAATTTGGACAGATCCCGCCCTTATTTCAGCTCTGCTGCCTTTGAAATGACCAGGAAGTTGGCTGTTTCAAAAGGCCTTAAAATCCTCCGAGCTGAACCCCTGATTGGGCCATGCTGCTTGAATTTCAATGGACATTCTGCTGCTAATTAGAGCAGAGCAGGTGCAGAAACACCATTTGGCCGACCCGTGGCTGCGAGCTTTTCTCGAGCATTGATTTGTGTCGGGTTGAGATTGTGCTTGAACCCAGAACATGGCAGGGGTGTGCACTGTTCCCCTTGCAAAATCATCTGTCCGTAAGCGTAGTTATGTGACAGGTGACAGCAGGAGAAGATTTATCTCTGGCTTAATGCAAGTTCCACCTAAATAAAAGCTCTCTATGTTGCTCAAGAAGCTAATACAAACTTTGCTGGCAGAGTCTGACTCAGGAGATATGGTAATTCAGATATACACAGTTTCTGGACACACACCATTCCCCCTCGTTCCTTGTGAGATTTGTTAACAAGCTGCTTCAGCCCAGTAGTAAGTAGGTGTTGGGCACTTTGCATCTGTCTTTCACCAAAAACTGGCTTACAGGACTGGTGCAAATCGTATCTGCAGCAAACTGATTTTATGTAGAGGGTTTAAAAGCTATTGAAACAAAATCCTGCTGACCACATTTAATAATGTGTAGCTTAGTACTGCAGCAGTGCCTTTCATCTGAGCATCTCAAAGCTGTTGACAAACAATTAATTAAAGCCTTCAACTCCCTGTTACGTAGGTACGGTGGCATCAATTTCCACTTCTATTTTCTCCAAGGTAGAGAGAGATTTCGAATGGATGTTTTCAGCCTTGGTCTCGGAGCAAGAGGCTTAGTGGTATAAACCTGAATTTAAGTGTCTACCTTATGGCACCCAGGCTCGAGAACCTTGGACCTTTCTCAAGAGATCTCATAATCTTACACTAGTTGTAGAAATAAGATCTAAGCGTTTCATATGCTGAGGTTGTCTTGTGGATAAACTTCGGTATTTCTGTGTGTTGTGCTCAAGATTTCACTTAACACAAAAGTAGGTCTATTCAAGAACTTTCATTGATGATTTCTACCCAGAATAGAAGCAAATAACTTATCTCACAAATTTGCAGGATCCCGCTTTGCAGGACTTGGAGAGCAATTTTATCATACAGCAAAAGCTGGTGGAAGCTGCGAAGAAACTTGCCAGTGAGCCAGACCTCTGCAAAAATGTGAAGAAGAAAAGAAAACAGGATTATACTGATGCTGTAAAAAAGCTGCAAGAGATAGAAAACTCCATAAATGAGTATAGAATCAAGTGCGGCAAAAAACCAACCCAGAAATCAGCTCTTACTCTACCAGGTAAACAAGAGAATTCCCCGTATTCTGAAGAAAAAAGTAATCTGGCTCACTTACAAGATCTGTTTACATCTCCTCTGTGTGATTTTTATCTTCTCCAAGGCAGTTAAGTAAGAAAAAAAGAGATGCAATTGCTGCATCTGATAGGATAAGTGCACTGCTTACAGGCTGAGGGCAGAATAAGCTGCAGTTTGAGGAACAAGTGGAGACTCGTTCCAGCAGCAGGTATGGACAGAAGGTGCTATACTTAGAAAGGAGCATCTCAGCCGAAACTGGTGTGGTCTCTTAATTCTTACTGTATTGAGAGCAGTTGTGTGTCTGAGCTGCCACGTGCAAGGTCTTCTCTCCCTTCCCTTCCGCGACGCGACAGTTCGAGCAAAAATAGAGCATGTGAGGTTTTTCTGCAAAGATCAAGGAAATAAGGATCAAAGACTTTGCCACTTGATTAAAAATTACTGATTTCCAGGAAGACATAGGCAAAGTTCAAGAGTTTATGAGTGCAAATAGTGGCAAACAGATTTTTTTTTTTTGACTAAAGGCATTTGCCACTGATGAACACAGTGAATGCAGATACGCTTGGTCCCTCCATTCTGAAAGTGTGATTTTTCCTAAAGGAGGTGAGATGTTTTGCTGCTTCATAGGATAAAGCATAAAAACTTGCTAGTATCCATGCCAACTGAAGGAGTTTGGGAGTAGTAAAAGCTCATACGATTTGCAGGCTCTTCCAGTTTCCACAGTGATTAACAGTTTTAGGACATGTTTTACTTCTCCTGTCTGTGGAAAATATATCTGGATAATTGTTAATGTTTAATTGATTTCTTTTTTCCACTTTATCTGAGAGGAAATGCTGTTTTGTGAGGTTAGTGGTTTGGTTTTTTTTCCTGGGAATTGCAAGCTAGGAAAAAAAAGCAAGATTTTTTTTTTTTTATGCTGTTTATATCGATACCTTCTTACTGACCCTTGAGATGAGACTTCTTGCCAGCATGTATCTTCCCTGGAGGAAACCCTTCTCCTGTGCACTCTGAGGTTTCTATTGGAGAAACCTTTAGCCATGTCCCATTCCTGTTGAGAGCTTGGTTTGGATTGTTACCCAGCACAAACCACAGCAGCACTGGGCCATCCATCATCACCAAGTGCTTATTCTGAAAGGCTGATGATTGCTACTTAATGTGGCCCAGCTAGTTCCTGATTGACAGAGATGAGGAAAACATCTGTGTTTTCCAGTCTCTTGCTTACTAATCTGGATACTAATTGTGGGAGATCCTGTATTACCTGGGGCACGTGATGTGTAGTGACAACCAGGAAGCTACTGGAGACCTGTGAGGCAGCATCCATGCAGAGTCACCACTCTTTGTTGCAGGCAGTTTCTTGTCCTGTTGGACAAACAAGCAACTTAGGAGTTGGTCCTTATACATTTAGCCCATCATTTTGCAATATTTGGTACGTGACATCCTTGTTTGCTGTCTGGGAAGGTAGACACAGCTAGAAGGGACTAGATTTTGTGTTTCAGAGGGTCACACTGCAGGTGGGGACTGCAAGATGGCAAATACTTAGCCAGAAAAGCAAGCTACATTCCCACATTGCACCATGTATTTATTTACCTGAAGCAGAACTGTTGTCTGCTTCAGTAATTGATTTTCATGTGTAACCTTTTTGCTGTTGCTGATGGTACTGTCAGGCTCAAGGTACAGGGTTTCAGAAGGCTGAGCAGTGATGAGTCGTGTGTGTGAATTTGGGAAATGACTTGTTGGAAAGGACGTAGTAAGTAATAACATTGATTTATTGAATCAAACCATAGCTATTTTCATCCCAGCCCCCAAGGGACGGGAGGTGAAGGACGTACTGGACTGTCTCGTGCTTCCCATATTCCACTTTCCCTTTCCTTTGTTTCCTCTGTAGCCCAGAGTTTCTTCCACTTTTGCAGGATTTAGGATTTAAATTCAGAGCTCCCCCATATGTCAACATTGCAGACCCCACAGGAATCCAGCAATGTAGCTTTAGACTGTCTTTTTAATACTTCTTTTTTTCCTCCAGGTAGGTTTTTTTCCTCCTCGAATTGGGCCCAGTTCCATATTTCACCACCGTGTGGTCAAATGCATGTGAATAAGCTCCCCTGAAGCTTTTTCCCAGTGTCAGGTTCCAAGCAGAGCTGCAGCCCATCCTCAGTGTTCTGACAAGTCCCCCCGGGGCAGGGGCCAGCCCTGATGTTTTGCTGTTCTTGAAAAGCTGCTCTGGTTTACCAAATTCTTGTAACCAGACCTTTCCTCGCAGCAAAGTGTGACACCAAGGGAGTGACGTACGTTGCATACGCTCGTGATGAGTGATGGAGGAAGCAGGTGTCATACACAAAGTGGCTGCCACCTTCTTCTTTTGTTGCTTACTCTCACTCTTGCGTGGAGGCTCATGTAGACTTTTTACCCCACCAGCACCGTGTCTTGCCAGAAATGGTCTAGGAACAGATTTTTCTCTGGGTTAATTATCTCTTGTCCTGCTTTTTATCACCAGCCTAATTTCTCTGCCACTGGTGGTCTGTGCTAAACCTTAGCAAGGAATATCAAGGTGAGAGGACAGGCAGGTGCAGTAAAGCACTTGGGATAAATAACAAAATGTAAAAGAAATAGAAAAAAATTTGCAATGCCTGTACAACAGTTACTGCTCTCTGTGTTGTTGGAAGTTGCAATAACTTGATTGAAATCAGTGGAATTATTCTGAATCGATATTAATGTAATTGAAACTGGATTTGCAGGCTGATGAAACATTCAAAAGTGCCAGATTTCAAAAGTCACCTACCTGGTGGGATTTCAGGTGTACCTAGAGGAGATTAGATGCTCGCAGCCAAGACATACATGTTTCTGTAGGCTCCTGACTCCTATTGAAGCACCAAAACACCCTGTGAGATCTGCTGGAAGTTGGGTGGAAAACACCTTTGTAAACCTTGGCCTGATTCCCACTGCAGTTGAAAAATAGTCTCCTTTAGGTAGGCAGGTTGCTGAATTGCAGTGAGCACAACTAGGTCATGACATACTCCAAAGTAGGGATGTCTTCAGATTCTTGAGGGCTAAAAGATACAGATTGTAGTGTTAGAAGTAGAAGCTGTCTCTGAAGCTGTAGAAAATAAACTGTATGTGATATCTGGAAATGAATGTTGGGTCTTCCATGCTTAAAGTAACTTGTTTTCATTCACAGATGATATAATTCCATCTGAGAGCAGCTCCCTGTCTGATACAACCACCTATGATGATGGTACGTTGCTTATTCTTTTTCTTTCTATGAAGTGTGCCTGTTCAGATAACATTCCTGTGACTTAATGTCCTCTAGCTTACTGCTTTGGTGGCTTTTGATGACAAATTACTTCACAGCGGAGGAGGAAAGAGCTTAACCAGGAATGTCTGTCTTCATAACGGGTTAATTATTGAAAGTGTCTGCTCTGTGAGCTGATCAGAGTTGTCTTTAGAGAAGGCAAGCAGTTTTAACGTGACCAACCTGCAAGCTGGAAGGCTTTGAATTTTGAACAAATACTTCATCCCTAGGACCTTGCCAGAGGCAGATGTGGCTGGAGGAGTTACAAACTGGGAGGATTTGCCCAGCCTTTCTGTCCTCACAGCCACTATAAAACTTATGGGGAAAAAAATAAGTAGAATAGGCACAAATATTAACGATTTGTTTACGTTTCTCTGTTGCCTGGTGAGCCTGCATCTTGCATGGGTATGGTGTTTGCTCAGCTTACTCATTTCACACCCACACCCACAGACACACACATTTACGCCCTGTTCCACAAGGTGGAAAGGACTTGGCTTGCCTCTCCCTTAAACTGGATAATCATCATCTGGGGACAAACATTATCTAAATTAGTACTCGCTTTTCAGTTAGGGCCTGATTCTGATCTCAGTTTGTCCCAGTTTCAGACTTGTACAACCCAGCTTGTGCTTTAAAATGGAGTTACACCTGATTCCTGCTTGTACAAGTAGTAGTAGAGCTGGGGCTTTGGCTTCTGAAAGTGCTCTCTGTGGTGCTCCTGCTGCATTTAAATGTATTAGTTGGAGTTTCCTCTTGGCTCTGATGGGACCTGGGTTGTGCCCTAAGCAAAGCGAGAACAAGGATCAAACCAGCGTCTCCCCGATTGCCTTCAGCCAAACCTGTCTGTCAGTTGCCTTTCCTCATTCAGTCGCTTTTGAAGTCAGCCCCTTTTAGGTTGTGTTCCAAAACTAATCCTTAAAATGTCATTTTCAAGGAAAGAGCTGGAAGGTGAGGGAGAGGAACTGGCTTTTGCAGAGGCTGAGCTTGCCTGCTCAGCTCCGGGGAGGGATCGCGCCACAAACAGGTGTTTTCCCAAGGAAATTCCACTTTGATCTGGCACAGCCCCAAGCTGGGTGTAATACCTGTAGGAGTAGGTGCTGCTGTAGATCTGTATGACATCCTCTCCTCGTGGAGAAGAGCTTGGTGCAGGCAGGAGAAACTTCCCAGGTTCCCAACTTGTCTCTGTAGTGCAAAGTGTTTCTGCTTAGGGGCCACAGATTTGCATAGAGGGCAAAAATATCAAGGCTTTTGCTAACAAAATGCATGTTCCTTTTCAACAGTCAGTGAATCGGTTCCTGTGCCAGCACAGAGACCCAGCTCTGCGCAGCTTTCTCCAAGGCTTCCCCCACCCAAGTCCCTCGGGGTGGAGAGAAATCATCTCAGAAAGTCATCCATAAACGAGCAGCTCTTGGAAACCAGACACTCCAGGTAGGGCTCGTCTTGCTGCCGCTGTGCTCTCCACATTGCTGCCAGGAGCTCTGTCCTGCTCCTGCCAAGACTTACTACGGGCTCTCCAGCAGAGCCTGCTGCCTCCACACTCCTCTGCCGTTTGGTGATGGGAGCTAAATTTCCTGTTTAGTAACAAAAGTGGGGATAAGTGTGTAGAAGTAGTTGCTGTGGTCTCTGAAACTATAGGGTAGCGTAGTCTTTGTGCAGAGCAAGCTGCTGTATCTAAGGAATTGTTCAGGCCCACCAGTGCTGTCACTCTTTGTCTCCATTTCTATGGTTTGTTTTTAATATTAATTAAACAACTTGTAATTTTCCTGATGATTGTGCTTAATGACTTCAGTTAACACCAAGCCATACCCCTCCCTCCTGATGGTATCGGGATTTCAGCGGGTACACTGTCAAAGTGTACAGAATTCGTGTTAAGTCCTGATGGGCGACTCGCCATGTAAGAGCAGAGTTACTGGGATTCAACCAGCTACCATCAGTAGTGGCAGCTGCAGTGACTGGCTGAGGTTTTCATGTCTATCCATGGGATTTGGGCACTTTCTGAGCTAGAAGAATAGTTCCATGGGGCACATCGACAGCAGTAGCTCTGCTGATGGTTTTGTGATCAGGTTCTATGGGTCTGATCTGGTGCTGGTTGTTCTCTGTGTGAGGGTTCCCACCCATCCTGATATTTCTTGGTCTGTCTCTGGCTTGAGCAAGCTGCTGAAATACTTTTGAGGTTTTAGGCAGTGTCATGTCACTGCATTTTTCTCAGCTGTCCCTCAAGGTAAGCAGAGCAGTCCTCCACATGATGTTTGGAAGTTGAGTTACAGACATATGTAACCCTTTAGCTGTGATGTGCTTCATTTTAAAACCTAACTCCTTTGCTTCTGTTACCTGCTCTGTCCCTTCTGCTTTCTACTTCTGTCCTTTAGCAGGAGCCTTTCATATCAGTCATTCTGTGAAGACCTCCCTTGCTGTGTTATCCCCTTGAGCCACAAGAAGGGGTTGAATTTTTCTTCAGTGTATTACGAATCTGTCCTTTATACGGAAAGCATGTCCTGTTAAACCCTTATCTGCTTTTTCTGCCCTTTGTTTTCTTTCTTCAAGACTTAGGGCCTGCATATTCTGTGTGCTGTGACTCGTGTGGTGTTTAACCTCACTGGGGTTGTCTCCTTCTTTACAGGGACCCTCTTTCGACTCACAGCAGTCCGTACCGAACCCTGGACCGGCTGCCCCAGCCCCATGGAGGGAGAAGCATGCCCACAACCCCCGTGCTCACACGCAATGCCTACAGCAGCAGCCACTTACAGTAAGAGGACTTTGTTTTAAGTGCAATGTCCATCTTAGGCAGCAGCAGAATACTTTTAAGATAGTCAGAACTTATTTTACGTTTCCCTTGTAGCCTCATTTTCTAACAAAGTGAGGCTTATGAAGTTGTGTTGTCCGTCAGCTAGTGGTCTCCCCACAAAAACTTGTTCAGGAGCTGACAGATATCCGCTGTGGATTGTCTCCTACAAGCGTCCTGAAGAAACAAAGGGCCAGCTAGAGGCGAGAGATTCCAATTTGTACAATTACTATGGGAAGAGAGCTGCAACGTGATCTCACCTGTGTTATTAGACAGCTGAGAGTCTGCGCTGGGGCAGGAGAGATGCTATAAATCTTACAATGTTATGAAGAGCTCATGGTTTATTTGGCCGGGGTAATACAGCCTTGAGATACAGAGCTGCAGGAAACCCATCTTGCTGTGCTGCTCCTAGCTCAGTTCCTTGTGTGGACTTTACCTACTTAAAAACTGAGAGCCTTCCTGTAAATCACTGCAGAATGTGAGTTTATGACCTTTGCTGCATGCGTCCCTGTCGCAGATTAACCTCTCTTACCATGAGAGGCTTTTATATGAGGGATCTCCTACTGTTGCAGCAAATCTACATTGCAAGAAATCCAGCATGGCTGAATTTTAGATGTTCTGTGTGGAAGGAAAAGACAGGGTTTGTGTTGTGCTTTGGCAGGGGAGGCCGTGTGCCTGACTTGCCTGTGCGTGCTCTCTCCAGCTCGGTGTGTGTGTGGGTGGGTTTGCCTGTGGCTGCCTTTGACCAACCAACATCTGTGTTGTTTCAGGCCAGATGTTTCCCCACACCACTGCCGGCAGCGCAGCGGAAGCCTGGAATCCCAAACCCACCTGCTGTCCGAGACTCCTGCTGACAAGGCAGCCTTCACCCTCTCCAAGTCCCAGCGAAGCAGCAGCACGGAGATCCTGGATGATGGATCATCCTACACCAGCCAGTCCAGCGCAGAGTATTACTGTGTGACACCTACTCCCAACCCCTATTACACCACTCAGACGCTCGACAACAGGACCAGGAGTCGAAGACGCTCGAAGAAACACAACATTTCTGCTGCAAATTCAGGAAGTATGCCAAACCTTGCCCAAAAGGATGTCCGCAACGGTGTCTACCACAAAAGTCAGGAGCAGCCTTCCTCTAGTTACTATATTTCCGGATATTCCCCATACACAGAATCTGATGCTTATTACAATGGAGGCTACGTTTATGAGAGCGATACGGAGGGACAGTACAGTGTCAATCCTTCCTACCGCTCCTCGGCACATTACGGATACGACCGTTACAGGGAATTCAGGTCTTACCACGAGGACGAAGTGGACAGAGTACCGCACAACCCGTACGCAACCCTACGGCTTCCGAGGAAGCAAGTTGCTAAAACGGAGCATATAACCAAAAACATTCACAAGGCCTTAGTAGCAGAGCATCTCCGGGGTTGGTACCAACGTGCCTCCAGTCAAAAGGAACAGGGTCATAGCCTGCAGGCGGGCTTTGAGTCTGACAGAGGATCTCAAAGGAGTTTGGGCTTTGCTGGTCTGCAGGTGCCGTGCTCTCCTACCAGTCGGGTGTCATCTTTCTCTTCAGGTAATGTCTGATTTCTTCTCTGCTTAAATGTTTTTGTAAGTCCCTGCTGTGCATCAAATTCTGGCCACCCTCTGCAGCCTCATTGAAGTCAGCAGAGTAGAAGCCAGGCTAGAGCTCTGCCCTGAAAGGTAGATGAGGAACTGGACAGGATCTTGTTCTGTGTTTGGGAAGAAATACTTGCTTGTTGCCTTCACCAGTAGGTAAAACTTTGTAAGCTTGGTAGTCCAAAGAAGCACTAAAGGGCTTCAAACAGGCATGTTTGCCAGCTAGAAGCAGCGTGCAAAGCTTCATGCCATGTGAATGCAGTTGCCATGATGGCTTCCAAAATACAGTGTAATGAGCATCACTGAATGGGTCAGAAAGTCTTTTTAAAAAGATTCCCTACCTCCAAAATACCACCCTCACAGCGCTTTCCTCCTTGCAGGGCCTGTCCATCATATTTTGTGTTTGCATTGTCTGCTTGTGTGTCCTGCAGAAACCCACAGAGATCGCTGATGAGAATTGTTTCACTTGTCTTAGCTGATTTAGCCAGAGAAAGATCTAATTTGCTCTAATTTATATTTATATTTTTTTTTAATTCCAGCATCTTCTGCAAACACTGCTGGGAACTGGCGAAACCCACTTGGGCTGGGACTTTCAGACTATGATTCGTTATCTCATTCCTCATATTCCAGCTGTTACGGGAATGTTTATGGCAACCTTCCTTTGCAGAGCAGGTGAGTGGAGCAATATCAAGAGTTTCTGCCCTTCGTCCTGCAATTCACAGGCTGTTAAAACTTTTGAGGAAAGCAACTTGATTTCAAAGGGCCAGGATGAAGAGTAATTATAAAATCTGCTTTGTGAGAGCTAAGTCCTCTGTGTGTGGAGCAGATCAGCTGTACCACCACCAACTCTGCCATGGACACTTGAGGAAGCAGGGAGCAGTCATAGGGAAGGATGAGCTCATTTCTTGCACAGCCTTTGCCTCTGGCTGGTGCTGGACCATCAAAGGTCTTGTGCTCCCTGGTAGCTGTGATGCTCAGGGCAGTGCTGAGTCCCTCTCACCCCCTGTGACAGGAGGTGTGTCCTGCACCCCACCAGCAGTCCAGCAAGACAGTCTTGTTGTGTTTCTGATGCTGTAGCACCCGTGCTGATAAACTGGGAAAAGAAGGAAAGGAAACATCTCTCTTCAACCCCATGTCTTAGTGCAATGCCCCATCTGCTGAGCACATCTCACTTGGATGTTCCTGCTTCCCAGTGGGAACCAGGTGCTGCTTGAGGGGCTCTCCTGAGGACTGCAGGGAGCCCAGGCTCTGCTTGGTCCTTGCAGAAATTCCTCCTGCTCTCTAAATGCCACCGTGTTTGAGGACAGTTGTGCTAAGTGTAGCCAGCTGTAGTAAGTACCCCACATTCGTGCCTCCTGCTTCATGGGCTGCAGCTTGTGCTTGCTTTCATGCTGACTTGCATGAAATTGCTGAATCTTTAATTTTGTTTGTTTTAAAATAAATGAAAGCGTAAGGAAAGATACAAAAGCTTCTGCTAGATCCTCATTTCTAAGATAAATGCCATGGGCTTTTTTTATTGCAGTGATTTAAAAGATCTACAGTAACAGTGTTTAAAAATATAGATTTTGCTAAATTCTTACAATTAGGCTTTGGAAACTCTGCTTATTTTGGCAGCTTTTTCTATATAAGGCTTATTAGCTATTAATTTTGCGAATTGTGAATCACTTGTTTGATAGTTCATCTGCTTTATTTTCTATTTAAATGGGATTATGGCAAACGAGCCATCAGCACAGTCTAAGAAGTCTTGACAATTTTGAAGCTAATGGCTTCAAGCTCCAACAGGGTAGGTTTAGATTGAACATTAGGAAAGAATTTTTCACCGAAAGAGTGATAGGGCATTGGAACAGGCTGCCCAGGGAGGTGGTGGAGTCGCCATCCCTGGCTGTGTTTAAGGGCCGTTTAGATGCAGTGCTGAGGGACATGGTGTAGGGGAGATTCAATTTTGAGCAGCTGAGATCCTGTGGCACACAATTTGTCTGATTGCGGCACCAAAACCGGGTTTGTGTTTGGATGCAAATTGCACTTGGGGTGAAGTCACAATAACTGATGTTACTTAAAGCCCGAGGGGGCTGTGTGAGTGTGTGCAGTTTGGGGGGGTCCTGGCTGGTCCCTGATGCCTTGTCTCTCTCTTGCAGAGCCTACGGGGAGACGAGCCAGGTGGGTGGTGAGGACGAGAGCCGGTTGGAAGACGACTTGCACAGCAACGAGCAGAGGTTATTCTGGCACGAGGATTCCAAGCCCGGGACGCTCGTGTAAGACCCGACGGCAGCCCCGTGTCCGTGCCCTTGCACAAACCGCTGTGACCCCGAGGGAGACCTCGACGGGGGGGAGGGAACTTCCAAACCCAACGAGAAGAGGAAGCAGGCTGTTTGGCTGGGAAGAGGGACTGCAGCAAAAGGACAAAGCCTTACCATGGATGGCGTTTTCTTTCCGAATCCGGATGGCCTACGCGAGCAAGGGCAAGCCGCAGTTTAATCTATGACTAGATGCAGCACTTGGTTGAAGTATTTATATTTAGCAAGCACTTTTTTTGGAAGATTGGAACATGTTGAAGGCAAACCTCAGAGGGGAGGAAAAAAAAAATGTGAAAAGGAGACTCTTACGGAAAAACCAGGAATTTTAGGAGCACAATTCTGATGTCTGAAAGAAGAAGAAATGAAAATTTATTCTGCCATGGCTTATGGTGACCTGGAAGGACATTCATAAGCTTATGAAGGATAGATACTCTGTGTGTGTGTGAGGCAAAGGGTGACTTAATCAGTATTGGAACATTACTTGAAGGAAGGCTGGATTATTTTTTTTTTATTATGGAGGTTTGAGTGAGTTTATCAGTTTTTCGGGGTGTTGTTAAGAGTGTTTGTTAGCACCACAAGCAAATTCTGGAAAGAAAAGAATTTGCTGACACAGTATGTCATGTAAAACTCGAGGCAGTTGTGGATTTTTGGAAACAGCAGCAGTGAGCTTTGAACTCTTTTCCACGATAAAGTGTAATTAATAACCTCCCATTTAATCACCTTTATCCATGGTACAACTTCACTGTGCGGAGGAGTAGGCAAATTTTCACGGTGGCTGCACAGTGACCCCCTGTTCATCGGGTGACGGTGGCATTGGTGACACTTTGCTCTGCCACAGGGCATCCAGGACCCGCAGTGGGGAGTTCCGGATTGTGATGGCCAGTATTTTAAGGTGGGATGAAAACACAAACAGCCAAGTGGGTGCCTTAAAATGAGGGGCATTAGGATTGTACCGCGAGTCATCGGAACTGCCAGGTGCGTTGCAGAGTCACTAAGTGACAGAGCAGCATTTTCACGAAACCATTTGTGTAGGGAAAGAAAGAAAAAAAAAAAAAAGAAAACAAACAAGTGTGACTGCAGTCTTGGTCTAAGAGGGATAAACCTACCTCACGTCGTAGGAACAAACTGGCATGGGTTATCTCGCGTGATTTCCGACGAGTCGTTTGCATTCGGTAAAATCTCTCTCGTTTCTCAGCTGTACTGTGCTTCAGGATTTCCATAAATGGTGCTCTTTTTCTTTTATACAAAGGATTAGTTACACCTTGTTCATATTGTGAATAGAAAGGTTTCTGATAAACTTTTTTGACATTTTTTTACCAATATTCCAGAGCATGTAATATATACAGAAGGAACACACTTGTTAAGCTGGTACTTAGTCGTTTGTATTATTAGAGTCGCGATTTGGAATTAAACGAACAAAAAACAAAATAAAAAATAACTTATTTCCTTGTTTTTTGCATATTTGTATAGCCTACTAGAAACGCGAAAGCTCTTTTTGCTTATTCTTTTACTACTTCTGAATTTTTTAGACCTATTATTTTGTATAGGTCAATAAACTAAAAAGTGTGCTTACCAAAACCACTTCAGCATTCCTCCTCTTTCTGCTTGAGTGCTTGGGAAAGTGCAGTGTGTGTTATTTCAGGGCTTTAAAGTTAAGAAGCAAGTAAATCACCGGGCTCTGATTTCTTTTGGCCTGCGGTGTTAGGTTGGGTGCAGAGGGTCAGTGGCCTCGGCTGGGGGAAGCTTGGCCCAGGGCAGTTCAGGCTGTCCCAAAATCTGTCTAAATCTGAATTTTTGAGGGTGGAAGGGGGAGGGAGGAGCAGTGCTTGGTTCTTTGCAGGGGTCTCTCTGGCACAGCTGCCCCAAGAGTGGGCTCACTCAGCATCCCCACGGGAGGGTCACTGTCCCTGGACCTGTTGCCCAGCCTCATCTCAGCAGCGATGCACAGACGGAGGTGGCCTCGTGTTTCTGGAAATACTTTGTCCTAGTCTATCCTTGCACCTCAAAATTGCTGCAGCCTTTCCCTTTGGGAGTGTGGCTCCTAGGGTTTGTGTTGCTCATCTGCTGGATCTTCTTCTGGGCTTGTGCCCTCTGAGAGAACCACTTTTCTGGAAGAGCGATTTGGCTTCTAGACGTACAACTTCTGCGCCCTGGTCATCAGGCAGTTGAGGTCATTACATCCCACTCTCATCTCTTCAGAGTCATTTGTCGTTTCCTACTTTTTGTGGTGCCCATAAGCTTCACCGGCACCACTGAATGTTATGCTTATCTCCAGGTTGCTGGGGAAAATAGGTGTTAACAAGAACTTGCAGATGTGCCCACTAGAAATACCACCATGTCGTCATAGTTTTCCCTTTTGAGGTTTGTCTGTTTGCAAGTTCTTCGTCCGTTGGGTCATGCTTCGGGCTGCTATAAACCCTTGGTGTTTTGAGTGGTACGAAGTCCAGTGCCTTACCCAGAAGTAATGGTATCGGTGCAGGCTGGCGGTTATTTATTAGCTCTCTCAAAGCTTTTCATTTAAAAAAGGAAATGAGGTGTGTAACAAGGTCTGTGCCCCATCTAAAGCGTTGTTTGCATTCCTTTTGTTTTAGTGCCACAGCCATTGAGTTCTGTATTGGCTTTTCCGTTAGCGGTCAGGATTCAGCTCAGTCTGACACATCCGTGTTGGCACGACGCTGGCACTTGGCCTGACCTCCCAGCTTGCTTGGACAGGACCAGGACAGTTTTGGATGATGTTGTTGAGCAGGTGGGACCATGAGGTGGGTTTGGGTTGAGGATGGTTTGCGGTATTTGGGGAATAGTGGGAATAAAACCTCCAGGACCGGAGCCCAGAGCCTGATTTGCAGCTTCCAGGAGGCAAGAGCTCAGCTGCCCAGGAGCTGGAAAGCCAAGAGGGGGAGTGGGACAAGTGAAGCACTTGTCACCCCTCTTGTCGTTCTCCGCATGCCTGGCCCTGCAAGAGTTGTGCTCTTAGGAACTTCTGGGAAGGGTGGAGGTACGGAGACAAGGAGGAGGCCCAGAAGAGGAGAGAACAAGAAGATCTAATTTCTTTCCCGGGTGTTGCTTGGGGCAGGTAGCAAAGGGCTGGGGTGGGTCTTGGGTGGCACAGGGAGGGAAAGGAGAGGGGACAACATCCCTGTGGGACCCCCTGCCCATCCAGGACCCTTAACTTTGCCGTTTGCAGACCTCCAGCTGACGTTGCTGCATTTCTGGAGCGGTGCTTTGATCCATGTCATGGCTGTTCGCTGGGTCTGGATAATGGAGCTGAAGAGGTAATAAAGACATACTTGTAACTATTATCATATTTGTTCACAGTTGAAATACAAATTACCTGTGCTTGCTTTGGATTGCTACCTCATCTGTGCTTCCTGCTGTTTAACCACAGCCCAGGACTAGTGAGGACATCTAGTGACTGACCAGCAGAAGTGAAGAGCCTTCTTGCCTCTCGTATCCTCTGAAATCCTTCCCACCCCTTCCAGTTCGAAGAAATACTTACAAATTCTTTTTTTTAGTGTGATCCAGAGCAAAGCCAAGAGGTGAAAAACGTGAAGCACCAGTGTAACACACCCACAAACCCACAGGGACCAATTTCAAAGTGTCATCTCTCTCTTCAGAAGGTAGAAGATGCTGCTGCTGGGATGAGCGTGTGGAGGGGAAGTAAAAACCCACATAAAACTGTACATAATGGAGCATTTCTGAGTGAGCTTTTAGTTGAGGGATGAAGAAAAGCCAGTTCTTGCCAGGAATCCTTAAAAAGGCATTGGGGCACTGTGCTAAAATAAGCCATGCCTGATGTTTTTAATTGCTGCCTGCTTTTTTTCTCTGCTGTTTTGAACAGAAATACTCTGAGATGTGGGAGGACAAACTCCTGTGGGAGCTGCTGTGAGCCCCATGGGAGGCCGGGGTGGGACATTCCTGCGGCACAGGGACCGAGGAGGGACCCACAGCCCCATCCCCGAGTGCAGGCAGGTCCTTCAAATCAAAAATCTTCAACGTGCACCCGAGTAGACTTATGTGAAACTCGTCGGCCAAGGTGACTCAGTACGTGGTGTGACTCTTCCAGGTCTCTGCTGACTTTTCATTTATGATCTTGGGCTTGTTCAGCTTCAATGTGAGTGATGCTGGGGTGGTGTTTCATACATGGCAAGGCTGCGCGGCTCCTGGGTGGGTGAGAAGCCTCCACCGTGGCCCAGCCCATCCCCAAGCATTGGTAGGAAATGCTTTAAAGCTGAAGGTTTGCTCCATCTCCTGGGCTTTGGGGATTAATGCAGGAGAGCCTCTCCTGCTGGCAGCTGCTGAGCCTGGGGAGAAGTTCCCTGTCTCACTGCACTTGCCTGGCAATTTTGGGGTAAGTTCCCACCTTTCCTAGGAAGATTCCTGCTTTCCACACCGTTCTTCCATCTCCTTTATGCTTTTCTGTCATATTTAATAAATTTCGAAGGTAGGAAGCTGAGAATTTCAGCTATAGCAGGGCCTCACACAAATACTCAAATCTATCAAGTTAAAGGAAATGGGACCAAACTTTTAACTGGGTTCATTTTGTTTAATGGTTATTAACTTAAGTCCAATTATCTATTTTCCATGGACTTTTCTTTTGCCTGGGGATTTTGTGCCAGAGGAAAAATTTCTGCATCCTTTGGAATCTTTTATCTTGTTGGTAACGCAAACTTCCTGGAGTGGTTTTCAAATTCCTTCTGTCACTTTTTGCAGCTGCTTGAGATAAATATGGTGGGAAAAAAAAAAAACCAAACACCTTATTTTGCAAACGTGTGAAGCCATAAACAGTTCTGTGGGCTTATTCTCCCTGTGCTGGGCATCGTGTCTCCCTCCTCTTGCCTTTGTTCTCCAGCTGAAGGCACCAGGATGCTGTTCCTCGGATCAGTCTGGGATAATCTGTCTTCCCAATCCAGTGGAACACTGAATGTGGCATTTGTATGGGGAAGGGGACCTACAGCTCCAATCTGGGGGCAGCCCCCGTTTTCCCACATAATGCAGCCTTCGTTAGAATCAATCAGCATTTTCATTTGTGTCATTTGGGTACCTCTGCAAATATGGATGTTTGCTGTTTTACCAAGCAGTGAGAAAACGGACCTTCATCCTGACATGGAAGATGTCACCAGGGGAAGGAATGAGGTTGCAGATGTGGCATCTGTTCGTGTTTTCAGGTATGAGCTTTGTATGGTGGATTTGGTTCCAGAACTGGTCCTGTTCATGCCATGCAAGGCATGGTTGGTACTTTGGAGACTCTGGTGTCTCTCTAAACCTGACCCCAGCATTGGGTCAGAGCTGATGCCCTACTAGGCCTGGACAGAGAAAGAGGAGGCAGTTGTACGTCTGCTGAGCTGTCACCCACCCTCTTTCCCTCCTGTTTAACTCTCTCCTCCACCTGCCCTGTCCTGTCACAAACTGGCCAAGCTCCCTCACATGCCAGGACAGCGTGTCCGCAATGTCTGGCTGAGCTTTCCAAAGAAAACACTTTCTTCTGTTCCCAGCATCGCTGCGATGCCCACACTACCAGTGGGTAAGGGCTGATGCACAACCCCATGCCTTGTCTGGCTGGACCTTCCCCTCTTCCTCATAGCTGGTTAGACACAGATTCAGGACCACATGGATCTTCTCCTGGGGCAGAATTTATCATCAAAGGCAATTACCCCAAGCTCTGATGCAGCAAGTCAAACCTGATGTGATGTTTCCTCCTTGGAAGAGTTGTGAGAGGTGCTGGTAGCCCAGGAGGACACAGGACACAGATGTCAGGGCCTTCATGAAAGAGAAGCAAGACCTTTACCCAAGCAGCAGCTCCTTGTCATCCATCCAACTTCGTTACCCTTGTGTGTCCCTCATGAAGGGAATCACTATAAATCCTTCAGCAAGTCCTTGACTGCAGAGGGATGTGCTCTGTCTTCCAGGGCATCTCCAGCCCATCTTAAGTACAGCAGGCATGAGTCCCAATTTATATTTAATCGTTAGGGTGTCATGGAAGAGCTGCAGATGGAGGAGAGTTTGTAGCCAGGCGGGGCTCAGCTGGAGTAACTCTAGAAGAAACCCTTCCACCTGTTCCTGGGATGAGGTTAGGGAAGGACGTGCCTCACACATATGTAATGAAATTGCCACGTGGCCTTGATGGCATCATTGCCCACGGACACGTTCTAGAGGCAGGATGATACGAGGTCTGGGGCTGTGATAGGCTTAAACGTGGGGTGTCTCTCTCTTTTATAGCGTTCAGTGTGAAAGGTGACATTCTTTCCTAGAATGACTCAATTTCTTACCACATCTGATCTGGCTTGTGCTGAATTCAGTGTTTCATTTAAAGGTGGAGACTATCGCTCATTCAAAAGGTTATGGTGATGATTGTTGCTCCTCCAAGAGTCCTTGGTGTCATGTCATAACAGTTCTGATTTAATGCTACTGCCATGGGGGAGGCTATAAATTTGGCTGAAGAGGATAGAGGACATTTTAAAATTTAATTCTAGCTACTGTTTTTAGTGTGAGGCTTTTGTCGTTCCTGAGGCTCGGCCATGCAAACCCAGAGCATCGATAAATCATAAGAATAAAGGTAGAGTTAATAGTAGATAACTCCTAATTGGATATGGAGCCACAGGTAGGTTCTCACGCAGACTGTGTGGAGAGTGAATGGCTTCTCTGAGGGTCTGAGCTTGTATCTCTGATGCAAAGTATTGAGTTTCTGAGCCCGAGTCTTGCACACAGATTTGGGATAATAAGCCCGTGGTTAATGAGAGTCAATATTTGGGTAAATGCCCTGTGTGATGCCCATGGGTAGTGTGTGACTGAGCGTTGTATCTGCCTGTGCTGCCTTGTGCTTGGGGCAAGCAGTGGCCGTCTGACAGGAGCCAGAGCTGCCCTGGGCCAGCCATGAGTCTCCATCCCCAGTCAGTCCCTGCCACAGGGGGTTGGTGTCCCCCTTGAAAGCTATAACCAGCCTTGGCTCTGTCCCAGACCAGGTGAAGCCACATCAGGGCAGCTCAGGGTGCCTTTTGGCTTTGCCCATTGGCAAAAAAAGCTTCAGGCAGAGCCATAGCTTGGTCCCCAGAGTCATGGTCAGACATCCAACGTCCCCTCATGAATTGCCTGTTCCTCATAAAATAACAAAATTGCTCCCTGTCTCTCATAGCCCCGTTTTCACTCACCACAGGCTGGTTTTCATTTGGCAGTTGTTGGTGCTGTGCTTCAGGAGGACGAGGTGACGAGCCACCCCCCAGGGATGAAAACATCCAGGTGTTTGGAAGTGCTTTGCCAAGGTCACATAAATAACACGAGCTGGGAAAGTGAAATACTGAGTTAGCAGGGATGTCACTGGCTCTGAGCGTTTCAGTGGCTTGCCCATGATATAAATGGTATCTGGGAGTAGAAACTTATAAATGGTATCTAGGAGTAGAAACTCCCTCCTGTAGCCACAGACCTGCTGCTTTGGAAGTGAGCATGGTGCAAAGAGGCACCAGGTGTCTCCTCTGTGCTGGGGGTGCTGCTCAAACCACGTAAAAACATGATCATTAAACAAAAAAAGCACTTCTATATCAGCTGGGGGGATGGTGGGTGAGGTATAGCTTTCTTCGTTGGCAACTGGACACAGAAACTCGGGCTTTTGAGGGTGAGTTTGGAACATGTTTTGGCTCTGGATATGGGGCAAAGGTTCACCCTGGGTCAGCCCAGAGCCCCAGGACAGAAAGAAAATAAATCACTATGGGTTTTTTTGGGGGCCAGATTCGAGGCATCCAGGTCCCACTGAAACAAGAGGCATGGCTCTGCTTTCTCCTTTCAGAACCGAAGGAAACTGCCAGACCCCCACATGGTGAGTTGTGGTGATTTGGTGACTGCAGAGGTAAGGAGCTCACATCTCTGTCCCCACACCAGCCACCACCATGCCTGCTGCTTCACATGGGGGCTTGACTTTGCAGCTCCCTGCCAGGCGACTTGGGCAAATACCTCGAAAGTCAGATGTCCTTACTCTATTTAAGCAACAAACTTAATCTGATATATTTGTTTCTGTAATGGTTTGGAGGTGTGGTGGGTTGGTTTTTTTTTTCTTCCAAGATGCTCCCTGGTGTTTTTCCCACAGGGTGTCCCTCTATGATTGCTCTCGTTACTTGTTGGTTGTTATTGTTAAGATCCCATCATCTGACCCCTTATAATCCACATATTGCGTTACACTGCATTGCTGGACATACTTGGTGTATGCTACTGTTGGTCAATTTTAGACTGCCCCATCAAGCCCATGAGTTTCTTAAAAGTGGTGCAAGTTTGTTACACATTCTCCAATTCGTTCCAGTTAGTGTCTCGGCCCTCGGAAATGCCATGGTTTGGTTGTAAAGGGAAATAAATATGTGGGTGTTATAAGCAAAAAAAATGAAAGCCAACATTACAGGAATTGCTGTCAAGTATTTGGCATCAGCATGTGTCCCATCAATTATCTTAAATATAGAACACGTTTTAGGCACTTGAAGCATGGTTTGATGGCCTGCCTCGTGTCAAATGGTGACACAGGAGCCAGCCCTTCTTGATATTTGAGTTAAAAACTTGTCAACCCTTTTGCTTTCGAGAAAGACAGGTTGGAATTTTTGAAGAAAATGCACAAATGAGAAAAATCAATGAAGTGAAGCGATCCTGCAGGAGAGCCTGCTGGGTTTCATGCAAGAGGTCATCCACACGGGAGTACCTGCCTTGGAAACAGCGAGCAGTGGGTATGAATTGTTCATTACCCAGGGCAGACCTTTTCTTCTGTCAGTTTGGTCCTAAAGTGGTTTTATTTAACACTTGTTAGGTACCTACTTACCTCTAATTTTGAGCTGTTAACCCGTAGGGATCACCTTGAGATCTTCTGCTCATGCTTTGAGCGTAGCTGCTGGCACAGATCTGCCATTTGGTAACAGGGCACCTGGTGCAGCAGCTCATTAGTCTGGGGATTCCTGAGCAAGTGTCAAATTGGCGTGAAAATAGCAAGTGCTAACGATGGAAGTGGCTTTCCTGTCTTAATGAAGGTTGAGGAATGGGCGATTATTTTGGAAAGCTCCAAGGGGAGTACCTGCAAATGTTGTTGGAAAGAAGATGGGCGTTTTGCCTTGGAAAAGACTTCTAGATTTGGCCCTGAGCGTGTCCCCAGCCTGGAGGGTGTTGTTTGTTGTCTTAACGTGCTGTTTCCATCACACCAAAGTGTTAGAAAAGGAAGTGAATCCCATACTCGAGGTAATTTATGGAGACCTGAAGTAGGCAAAATGTGATACCCACCTTGGAAATTGGTGGGATTAGCACCCATGTCACCAGGAGAGGTGTCACCGAGCAGCCCTTCGCTCTGTGCCTGATGGAGGAGGCATCACTCTCAGAAGTATAGGGTTTCCTCATCATGATATCGACAAGTGATATATTTCTACATAGAAGAAAAATTGCTTTCCAAATACCTGATAGTGTTCTCAGTATCCCTGTTTTCCTTCTCGAGAGGACTTCATGGGTTTGACCCTACTTAGCTTAGCAGATCTGACAAGACCATGGCCCAAGATGGGCCTGGCTGAAGATCATGGAAATCTAAGAAGGTGGCCAGGGGCTTTATTTACAGTCAAGAAATTAGCAAGCGATAAGTAACCACTTGAATAGACAGCTTCTGTGACCCAAACAGCATCGTTTGGGAGAATAACATACCAGCTACCGAAGAGCATTGATTTATTTGATAACATCAGGGAACCATTTATGGACTCCATTATGGACAGCAATTGCTGGGGGTTAAAACTGCTAGATCAGACAGATTGATGTGTGTGTCTGCTGTTGTGCTTGCTACTGCATAATATAAAATAAGGATGTCTCCTGAAATACCAAAGGGGCAAATGGAGCCATTATGTTCTTGGCTTGGGGTTTTGTTATTTTTTTTTCCTTTACCGCTTATTTCGTTCTTAAATTTTTGCCCTCTTCCCTGCTGCGTAACACCATAAATTGAATGAGGGCATTTGGTTTTATGGCTTTTTAATAGAGCTTAACAGGGCTTTGAACACCGTGTTTCTTGTTACAAAACAGCAAAGAGAGATCATCATCATGCAGAGACTATTTTGCTGCTGGCAGACTCCAGCAGAGACTGTAACGAGAAATAAGGCTTCAAAATCGGTGGGGCTTGGTTTCACAGCCTCTCGTCCATGGGTTGCTTTCCTATGGAAGATGGATTCGCAGTTGCAAGATGAGGATTTGATTCAGTACCCCCTGCAAAGAATATTTGAACTTATGAGAAGGAAATCTTCCTAACCAAATGAACGGTCCAAACTGCAGCGTACGGAAATTGGGCTATAGTGGAAAAATTGCCCACCCACGTTACTCTGCTTTCACGCAGCAGCCATGAGCCCAGTGGTGTCAGAGACATGGCTTTCTGGTTTGTCATGTAAATTTAGAAGCCTATGAAATACTCTGAACAAAGGAGGGGGTATTTCTTGGCTAGAACGTGCTTTTAATGAAAAAAAAATTGGGGTAATCTCCTATAGTTAGATCGATTCTACAAATACTAGTAGTTAGAATCTTAGTAGTTGCTTATTAATTCAGTAAAAAAAAAAAAAACAGTTGAAAAGGATGAACTGGAGATGAACTATCAGCCAAGATCTATTGATCGTGCAAATAATGTCCATGATAGAGACAGGCCAGCCAAGGAAAAGGGCACTGGCTTTGCCCCCGGGCAGACTGGATGGGAGCAGGACATGGATGTGCTGTGGGGAAATGCTCCCCATGGGACTGCTGAGGGTGGTTCAAAGGGCTGGTGTCTGTCCCCAGGCACAAGGTGTGTGTTGTACCGACTGTTCACCTGCCTTTTGCCATCTTGGAGGGTTTTACCTTAACCAGGATCTGATGTTTGGGAGAGCTCATCGATTGCACAATGGCTGTGTGTCCTGGTTTGAGCGACACAGGACTAAGTTATCTTCTAATGCTTGGGAAAACTGCACTTTTTGAAGACTGTAGTGCCTGAATTCCTGAAAATATTTATTTTATAGCTATCTATGCTATGTGGGATTCACGGTCTCGGTATCTTCAAGCTCCCCAGGTGTGGGGAGGAGAAGAGGCAAGAGCCAGGCACTTGACCCAAGCTGCCAACAGGATTATTTCATACCATGAATGTCCTATTCACTCTAACTTAGAAAGTTTTCTGGATAGTTCTCTCTCTCTCGGTGGTGGTGGGTTCAGAGAACTCCTTGCCCCTGTGCTGGAGCCCTGAGCCCTTTTCTTCCAAAGCCAAAGCACTCACAAGGTCCCACATTAGCTGTCCCTGCTGGAAGTGCACAGCTTCCTGCTGAGAGAATGGACTGAGTACACTCCTTGTCTATTTTGTATTGGGATCAATACTGGTTCTTTAGTATTATTAATGCTAATTATTTAGTCTTATCCTATTAAATCTATTTATATTTCAAGCCTCAGCTTTCCTTGACTTTCTGGGATTCCCCTTCCTGGGGTGGGGAGAGCTCATCAGGTGGTAGAATAATTGTCTAAATGACAGTAAATTGTTGTGGTTTTCTCAAACCATGGCACTGTGCTCACACCAAGACCACCTGCAGCAATATCTAGTCAGAGTTTAGAGCTGCCTAAAGGCAGTGAGAAACGTGCAAATTCTCAGCTCCGTTGAGGTATCTGAGACATTACGGACACAGAGACCTTATGGACCTTGTGCTGGTTCTTCCTGTGGTGTGGAATTTCACCCACACCCCTCGCAGGTACCATTAATGTCAGGACACCCACCTGGGGTGGGTCCCACTCAGGGTGCAGCACTGGAAGCTGTAGAGAATCCCTGGGAATCCTCTAGAAAACGGTGCCTCCCGCCTTCCTCAATGGGGGAGGCACCAGCTGCACTGAAATGTCAGAAGGGTTTGGGCAGCTGACGGGTTGCTGAAAATGGAGCATGGCAGCATCGCCATAAATTCTCTTTATCCAGCCAAGTGCAGCTTAATATAGACTTAGCCCCACGGTCTGTCTCCCGCACTGAGACCCAGGGCTGCCACAGCTCATGACCAAAACATGAAGTTGCTGATTTAACCGAGTGGTCTACCGCTAGTGAGGGGGGAAAGAAAGAAATAAATCCTTTGAAATTTATCTTTCTCTCTAGGTTTACGAAGTTATAGAGGAAGGAGAGAAGAAAGAACATGTCTGAACTCAGCCAAAACTCTGATGAAGAAGTGTGTCCTGAGGACATTGATGAAGATGAAATCCTGGCAAACCTGTCGCCCGAGGAGCTAAAGGAGCTGCAGAGTGAGATGGAAGTCATGGCCCCGGACCCCCAGGTCCCAACGGGGATGATACAGAGGGATCAGACGGAGAAACCCCCCACGGGGAGCTTTGACCACAGGTCCCTGGTTGACTACCTGTACTGGCAGAAGGCGTCCAGACGCATGCTCGAGGACGAGAGAGTTCCCGTCACCCTCTTGCCCTCTGAGGTAACAAGCAAAAAATCACAAATATTTATTATGCATCTGCTGCGGGATCCGTTTTATAGCTTTTAATACCTTAACCTACCTCTACTTCCGTCCCCTATGTACGGTAGGGTACAAACAAATTTAAATTCATCCTAAAAGCCTCAGCAATGTCAGGATCCAGCTGGGACTGATGTCAGGGTTAGTAACTCTTAATTGCTTTTACTAAATATTTACTTAAGCTTTTTAATATAGGAAAAATCCTAATTCTGTTTCATTAAATCACTGAGAAATTGCCATAAAATCAGTTTGGAGGATGTAGCTCGAATTTGTTTGACTTTGCGTTAGGAACAATACTGCATTGCTTTTCCATAGAAGACTACATTAAACTAATTAATTAGTATTAAACTAATTAATTGACAGATTTTAATGTCACGCTGGACAAAAGCCCAAGCCACTGCATTTTAACAATGTGAAACATTTACTAACACCCAAGCATGCAAATTCCATGAAGTAGCCCAACCCTTTTCAATACAGTACTTTAAATTTATTCTACTATCCTTATGACTTTGAAACAAAGTTAAGGTCAGTGTTAGATATTTTTCAGGACACTGAAATAGTGTCCACACTTAAAAATAGGTTAATAGAATGGAAACTTGGCCAGACAAAATACGTCCATACCTGAACCTAAGTGAATTTGAGGTAACTGATTTTTATTTTTTATTTTAAAAACATGGGGGTTTTGCTAATACACAGCAGCACAGCACATCATGGATTTCCCAGGGCAGGTTTAATGGGCTGCTTCTGGAGAAAGGGGGAAATCTGTAGGTTTTTCCCTCCTGCAACACTCTTACCCTCAAACGGACTTCCCAGGGCAGGTTTCATGGGCTGCTTCTGGAGAAGGGGGGAAAAATCTATGGGGTTTTCCCTCCTGCAACACTCTTACCCTCAAAATTTTTTATTTTAAAAACATGGGGGTTTTGCTAATACACAGCAGCACAGCACATCACGGACTTCCCAGGGCAGGTTTCATGGGCTGCTTCTGGAGAAGGGGGGAAAAATCTATGGGGTTTTCCCTCCTGCAACACTCTTACCCTCAAAGAAACATTATTTTTTTAAACACTTCTGAGGTTAAATCTGGAATTTGAGCTTAGAGCTGCCTGCTGCATTGACAACTGCTCAAGCCATCCCTGCACTAGACCCATCCACTACTGCAGCAAATAGGAACCACGTCCCCGAGGGCAGAAGTGACTTTGTTACCATTTTGTCTGCCTTTCGGTGAAGCACAAGCCATGACACTTCCCTGCCTGAACTGCTCCAAATCTTTTAGGAAAACCTCTTGATCTTTATTAGTGCTTTATTAGCATTTGTTAGTGAGGGAGGATCCGCTTGCAAAAACATGCTTGGAAAAAAAAAAATGTATTTCACTTAGGAGTGTCCCTGGAGATGGTGGAAGTTTGTAACTTAATTTATTTTGATGTTAGAAGCCCCACGTCTCTGGAGATGGTGGAAGTTTGCAACTTAATTTATTTTGATGTTAGAAGCCCCAGTGCCTTGCAACAGCTGGGTGCAGGGTCCAGTTTCCTCTCTCTGGACTCAAAATAAAACTGAGCTAATGTTTTGCTTCATCATCAGTGACGTGCTTCCTTAGCTGGGATGCTCTGGCAGGTACCAGAGCCAGATGGCCTTGTTGTCTCATGTGCTGGGTGACCCCACTGTTCTTACGATGTGGCTTTTTCACTTCTCCTTGGGCTGAGAGAACAGTCAGGGGTTAACATGGATTTTCAAGGGTTTGTGGCACACAAAATAAACTTTCTTTTTTGTCAAGGAATCGGTAAAAATTACCAATTACCAAAATTACCAAAAATCCATAAAGATATTTTGGATCGGAGACACTTAACCCCTAGAAAGGTTTGAGGACCACCTTAACATAGTATCAAATATGAACAGGATTTAATTGTCAGTGAGCTTAATAGGCAAAGATGAGAAACTGGGTTGCAGCCACTCCAGCAAGCCAGCACAGCCCTGACCTACAGGCAATGACACTCTTAGGGATTATTCCATAAAGTGTGGGCACAGAGGTATCTAAATCCAGTTGCTACATGTTTATTTTATCAGAAAGTGAAGGTAACAAAGCCACGATCAATTATTTCAGCTGTGGGTTTCTGTCTTCCCCAGAGAAGCGCCGCGGAGGAGGCAGCTGGTGGGAAGGTGCCAGCAGAGGAAAGAGAGAGACGTTACCAAAATGAGCACTTGTCCAACTCTGGAACACAATTTGGGGAGACAAACAATGATGGAAGTGATAAAGAGAGAGAAGAGGAGGAGGATGAGGAAGAAGAAGCAGAGGAGGAAGAGGAAGATGACGAAGAGGAGGAGGAAGGGGAAGATGAGACTGAACTAGACACAAAGGAGACTTACACCAATGAAAAGCCTCCCAGCAATCAGATAAGTAAGAAACCCAGTACAGAATCAGAAGAAAGCATAGAAAAGCCAAATGAAAAGAAAATATCAAAACTGAACATCCCAAAAAAGTTAGCACTGGACACCAGCTTCATGAAGCTGAGTGCCAGGCCTTCAGGAAATCAAACCAATTTGGAAGAGAGTTTGGAGAAAGTCCGAAAAAACAACCCGGACGTGAAAGAGGTCAACCTGAACAACATAGAAAACGTCCCCAAAGAAATGCTGATAGACTTTGTCAATGCCATGAAAAAGAATAAGAACGTAAAAACGTTCAGTTTGGCCAACGTGGGGGCTGATGACAATGTGGCGTTCGCGCTGGCCAACATGCTGCGGGAGAACAGGAGCATCACCACCTTGAACATCGATTCCAATTTCATCTCTGGCAAAGGGATCGTTGCCATCATGAGGTGCCTGCAGTACAACGAGACGCTGACGGAGCTCCGCTTCCACAACCAGCGGAGCATGCTGGGCCACCAGGCAGAAATGGAGATCGCCAGGCTGCTGAAAGCCAACGCCACCCTCCTTAAAATGGGGTACCACTTCGAACTGCCGGGGCCCAGGATGGTGGTGACCAACCTGCTCAGCAGAAACCTGGACAAGCAGAGGCAAAAGAGGCAAGAGGAGCAGAGGCAGCAGCAAATGAAAGAGCAGAGGGAGTTGATAGCGATGCTGGAAAACGGACTTGGGTTGCCTCCTGGGATGTGGGAAATGCTGGGGGGACCGCTGCCCCAGCCGAGGATGCATGAACCCTCTCAAGCCCCAAAACCACCTGTCCCTGCAGCTGTGTCTCTGAGCAAAAGGCAGGAGAGGGTGAGGCAGCCGGCCCCCGAGGAGCCACGTGGAAAGGAGCCCGTCAACTTTAGGGTGGTCAAGCTGAAGAAGACTCAGCGCAAACCCGCCGTGCCGGAGTACGTGGAACCCACCGAGAAAACCAACCTCAAAGACGTCATCAAAACTCTTAAGCCAGTTCCCAGGAGAAGACCGCCTCCCCTCGTTGAAATAACCCCGAGAGATCAGCTACTAAACGACATCCGTCAGAGTAACGTCGCTTATCTTAAACCGGTAAGTGCTCAGTGATGGCCAGGAGGGGAGGGAATCCCACCCACCGTGGGCGGCCACCTCCCCTCGTCGAAATAACCCCAAGAGATCAGCTACTAAACGACATCCGTCAGAGTAACGTCGCTTATCTTAAACCGGTAAGTGCTCAGTGATGGCCAGGAGGGGAGGGAATCCCACCCACCGTGGGCATCTCTGCCTGCATCCATAAAGGTAAAAGACATGAAACCACAAACCCCACAGAAACTCACCATTAGTGTTATCCCTGTCTGCATCCATAAAGGTAAAAGACATGAAATTCACTCGGGAGGTACACAAACCCCACAGAAACTCACCATTAGTGTAGTAGTGTCTTAGAATCATAGAATCATCTAAGTTGGACGGGACCTTTAAGATCATGTAGTGTCTTAGAATCATAGAATCATCTAGGTTGGACGGGACCTTTAAGATCATGGAGTCCCACCATTGATTGTTATGATGGACAAATGCATTTTTAAGATGTTTGCTTTGGGAAAGCAACAAGTATTATTTTTTTTTCGCATTAGTCTGTCCTCACTCCCCCATAAAAAACATGTTTCTCTTTTTGGCAGCCCTGTTTTACTTTAGCTCTCACTTCAGACAAGAAAGCACCAGCACTTGGCTCCTTTGATGAAGGTTAAGCTGAAAGACAGGCAACAAAATAACTTACCCAAGGTCACTTAAGAAAGATCTGGGGCTGCCTTCGCTTGATCTGGTTTAAATGAAATGAAAAGCTTTAGTCTGAGGGGCAAGTCCCAAACTGTGACAACAGCCTCTTGGTGATGCTCTTTCTTGGGTACCAAATTCATGGGCCACTTCTCAAAATTCTGGCTGTCAGATTTAACCTCTTGCTGCCCTAGTGTTATGTTTCTTTATGTTGTACCATTATTTAAGAAATACTAAAAGCTGACTGATCTAGTTGTAGCTACTGATGTATCTGGGGCTGCCTTCGCTTGATCTGGTTTAAATGAAATGAAAAGCTTTAGTCTGAGGGGCAAGTCCCAAACTGTGACAACAGCCTCTTGGTGATGCTCTTTCTTGGGTACCAAATTCATGGGCCACTTCTCAAAATTCTGGCCGTCAGATTTAACCTCTTGCTGCCCTGAAGTGTTATGTTTCTTTACGTTGTACAATTATTAAAGAAATACTAAAAGCTGACTGATCTAGTTGTAGCTACTGATGTTGATGCCTCTGTGTTGCTAAGGCTAGAGGAAGAGGACAGAAAATCCTTTGCAATTAAAAATGGTCAAATAGTATTTTGTAATTCATGTTTTGTTTAATAATTGACATTTTTATGTAGTGGGTTACATTTTGCTTGCTTTTATACCTACACAGAAATACTTATTCCCTTAGAAATTCCAGACAGAGTATTTTGTCCCAACATTTTGGCAGCAACAGGTCCTGTAGTGACTCTAGCCCAGGTTTAATGGGACCCATCTGCTCCCAGCCCAGGTGGTCTCTGCTGGCCACTCCGACCTGGCTGCAGCCGGGGCCTCTCCTCGGGGCCTTTCTGGCCTTTCTAGATCTCAGCCTGTGCTTTGCATTTCGGTGCCATGTCTAAGATGACAAGACCTGCTCTTGTAAAGGTCACGGTTTATCTGTAGATGCCCCAACGGTGCTCGTGATGGCAGGTTGGTCCATCACTGGGGAGGGATCTGCTGCCTCCTCACCTCTCAGGACGATGGAGGATGATGGTGCTGGTGCTCTGTTGGGTACAGCCCTCAACTTACACAGCGATGATTAAGAAACCCGGGTGCCCAGGGGGCAATAGTGAACCCCAGCCATTCCCCCCAAAATCCTCTGGAGGTTTTTATAAATGGGCGCTGTGGGATTTGGGGCAGAGGGATCAATTCATGGTCCATCCTAAACGGGTCAGATAACGGTTGCTATCACAGCCCATGGAAAGATGAAGCAACAGACATGTGTTCGGATTTTGGGGGGTTTTTTTTGGTGTTTGGTGTTTTTTATTTTGGTCCTCTGTCATTGAGCCAAAGGGCTTGGATTTGGGGCATTAGAGTTTTACTCTCACCTGCCTGTGTGATCTGCGTGACTCCTAATTTTCCTCAATATCCTCAGCTTCACCTCTAAATTTGTATTTTACTGCTTGAGCTGAGCTGTGTGTTTGTTCGCTCCGTGGGGGGACTCATTGCTTGCAAATTGATTTCCTGGGCATTAAGAATTGCAAACAGCAAGTGGGGATTACAAACAAAAGAAATTCCCAACCAGAGCCCCTCGGAGCTCCCAGCTGTTGTATTTTTGATCTTGTTACAGTTTCTGAAGGTTTGTATTAAAACTAAACGGGTTTGGGAAATAAGACTGAGAAATTTCCTCCTACTGATACTCGCTCTCCTTGTCCAGGTGCCGTTGCCGAAGCAGCTGGAGTGAGAGACCAGACTGACCTGAAGAAATGAACCTGGAATAAATGAACTTGAAAAAGATTCAAGTTTTGCTTATGACTGTTTCAGCAGATGTTTTCTGCAGAACCCGGGTGGTGTATACGACTCTTTGGGAACAAAGCTTGCGATGCCCACTTCTCTAAGTGTGGTGAAAACGGCTGGCATGGGAAAAGGCAGTGCTGAGCGTTTCCATCAGGTATCAAACACTCCTGGTGCCAGCTGTCTGCCAAGGGGATTGGAGGCTCCAGTTTGCTGTGGGAGTATTTTCTCAGAGGCATCAATAACCTTGTCTTTCTAGTTTGTCAGCAAACTATTCTGCTTCCACGTTGTCCTTCTGCCGCCAGATTCTGCAGGAACGCGCTGTGCTTTATCTTATCTTCCCTTTCACACACACATGCCTTTATTATTCTCTTGTCCGTGAGGAATGTATTTAGTTTCCACGTATACAGCTTCATTTTTTTTAGGCTAAGGCAACAGAAATGAAATAAAGCTCTCTCCGTAAGATGTGTGTGGCACTTCATGGCTCAGGAGGCACTCATAGAACAGAATGACTGCTCTGGCACCTCAAACACCTCGGCTTGATGGTTTTAAACTTCCTCTATTGCAGAACACAGTTTAGTTGGTACCGTACCTGATCAGCATATAAAAAGTCATGTCGTGCTCTGTTTTGAGGGCTGTGACCTTCATTCCCCACAGTTCACCTGTGCCCGTGGTGTAACCCCTAATGACAGCCACCTTGGAGCACACTGAGATGCCACTTTAGGTCTCCCCACACTACTCTGGAGTGGCAGGAGCCTCACCCTTCTCTTTGCCAGGGGTTTAAGAAACTCATTTTTGCTCCTAGTTCAGGGTGTGAAGAGCATGACTTACTGAGCAGAGCTGGGTGTGATGGGGTTAAGCCCGCATATACACACATTAGTTTTTCCCTAATGCTTCTGTGAAATTTTTTCTCCTCCCCTTTTTTAATGACATCAGATTTTTTTTGCAGCAAGCCTTTTTTGTGAAGCAGCTACAGGTAAGTCATGCTCTTGTGGAAGACAACCACAAGAGAGCGATTGGTTTTGGTGGGGTTTTTTTTGTTTGTTTGGCCGGTTGGTTTTGGTGGCTTTTTTTGTTTGTTTGGTGCTCTTTTTTTTTTTCCTCTTTTTTTTTTAATAAATCCACGTGAAGCTGTAAGGCCTAGGGAAAGAACAAAGTCTTTCCTATTGCTCACATGCAGCTCCTCTGCCTGTGGCTGATATGCTTGCTCAAAAAGCAGAGCTTTGCAGCTTTGGGCAGGATTTCCCTCAGGTGAGTTTTTTTCCTCTTTTTTTTTTAATAAATCCACGTGAAGCTGTAAGGCCTAGGGAAAGAACAAAAAATCCATGTGAAGCTGTAAGGCCTAGGGAAAGAACAAAGTCTTTCCTATTGCTCACATGCAGCTCCTCTGCCTGTGGCTGATATGCTTGCTCAAAAAGCAGAGCTTTGCAGCTTTGGGCAGGATTTCCCTCAGGTGAGTCTCTCCTTGGTCCTGCTTGTGACTCTGAGCATCCCTCCCCAGCAGCTAAATCCCAGTCCCACCCTGCTCCCCCTCCCTGCATTTGTTATAATAGTCTCACAGTATCAGCAACACCCAGGACCTCTTTGGATCCACAGTAGTCTCCACTATCATTGCTTCAAGTTTTCATTTATCCTTGTCCTTCCTGTATCTATCACCTAGAATCATAGTATGGTTAGAGTTGGAAGGGATCTTAAAGACCATCCAGTTCCAACCCCCCTGCCCTGGGCAGGGACACCTCCCACCAGACCAAGTTGCTCAAAGCCCTGTCCAGCCTGGCCTTGAACCCCTCCAGGGATGGGGCATCTACAACTTCTCTGGTGGGCCAGTGCCTTGCCACCCTCACAGTAAAGAACTTATAAATCTCCCCTCTTTCAATTTAAAACCATTACCCCTTGTCCTATCACTCCATTCCTGGATGAAGAGTCCCACCCGGTCTCTTTCAAATCCTCCATCTTCCAAAGGAGTAAAGCTCCCTCTCAGCTCTGCTTTTATCCGCAGCTGTAATGCCACAGAGTTGGGAAACCTGGTTGAGGTGTTGTTCTCCTTGGTCCTTCTTGTGACTCTGAGCATCCTTTCCCGGCAGCTAAATCCCAGTCCCACCCTGCTCCCCCTCCCTGCATTTGTTACAATAGTCTCACAGTATCAGCAACACCCAGGACCTCTTTGGATCCAAGGTAGTCTCCACTATCATTGCTTCAAGTTTTCATTTATCCTTGTCCTTCCTGTATCTATCACCTACAATCACAGAACGGTTAGAGTTGGAAGGGATCGTAAAGGTCATCCATTCCAACCCCCCTGCCCTGGGCAGGGACACCTCCCATTAGACCAAGTTGCTCAAAGCCTCATCCAGCCTGGCCTTGAACCCCTCCAGGGATGGCGCATCCACAGCTTCTCTGGTGGGCCAGTGCCTTGCCACCCTCACAGTAAAGAACTTCTAAATCTCCCCTTTTCCAATTTAAAACCGTTACCCCTTGTGAAGAGTCCCACCCGGTCTCTTTCAAATCCTCCATCTTCCAAAGGAGTAAAGCTCCCTCTCAGCTCTGCTTCTATCCCCAGCTGCAATGGCACAGAGTTGGGAAACCTGGTTGAGGTGTTGCCCAAGACACAGCAAGCAGTTTGTGTCACATGAAGGGGAGGGGAGAGCCATTTCTGCATGGCAGAGACATTAAAAAAAGGAAGTACCATTTTCACTGCTCTCATCTCATACAGCCCTCTCTTCTGATGAAGGCTAAAAGCAGGAAAAGGGAAGGAACTCGATACTTTTAACCAAGCCCTCACTTGGGGCACAGCAGCAAATGACAACTCAACTATCCCCAGCTGCAATGGCACAGAGTTGGGAAACCTGGTTGAGGTGTTGCCCAAGACACAGCAAGCAGTTTGTGTCACGTGAAGGGGAGGGGAGAGCCATTTTTGCATGGCAGAGACATTAAAAAAAGGAAGTACCATTTTCACTGCTCTCATCTCATACAGCCCTCTCTTCTGATGAAGGCTAAAAGCAGGAAAAGGGAAGGAACTCGATACTTTTAACCAAGCCCTCACTTGGGGCACAGCAGCAAATGACAACTCAAAGCTGCTGGAGCACGGTGCACGCTGCTCAAAGGCCAGGCCACTGCAGCCAAGACTTCAGCAACTGGGATGGGGAAGTGCAAAGGACAATAGATTATAGTGTTTTACAATCTCCATCAAGCTGCCAGGTGCAAGTTACTGCTACACTCAGAAGCAGCCAACACCTATAACCAGGCTATGTCTAGCAGGACCTGCAGAGCCCTGCTCTGATCCCTGATCTCCCACTGACCAGCCTTGAGTGATCCCAGGAGGCACCACGGAGTTGGCTTCCCAGCGTTGCTCAAGGCACAGCTCCCAGTAATCCTAGAAGCAGAAACCCCTCTCAGGTAGTTGAGTAGAGTTATACAAGAGCCTGAAAGCATGAAGAAATGCTCCAAGTCCTCCAGCTCTGTAGAGAAGCCTTTGTTAGGATGCAGAGCAAGGCCCTAACATTCGCACAGCTCAGAGGTCCCTCGTGCCTCAACAAAGTTCATACAGACACAGAGCCTGCAGAGCCAGCAGCTCATCATGAGCATGGGCTCGCAGCACCAGCTACAGGGTGACAGACCTCCTGCCACCCCCCCTTGGGAGCTCCACCAGAGACAAGCTCAAGTTTCCAACCACTTTTCCCAGGCTGAAACAAACGCACTCTGTAATCACCATTAGAATTTATTTTTCTTCATAACTGTGCAGTTTTTAAAATTCTACAGTAATGATGAAGTCATAGGCTACCATGTTCTTTAAGTGTGGAAATAGTTTTCAAAAAACAAAGACCATGCGCTACGAGTGAGGAACAGGCCATTGACTCTTCAGCTGGAATATACAGACAAATTTCAATAAATACTGATCACTTTAACACTTAAATGGAATGACATGTTCAGATTTCTACACAGTCCACGATGAAAACAGCATGGTAAGTTTTACATAAAAGCTTCAACTTTAAGGATCCTTGTTTTTTTTGTTAAATTAATTACTTTGTTAGAAAAGAGAAATGCAACATTATCTGAAATGGAGTGTCACCTGGACAACTTTTTCCCCCCTTACTGTTGGTAAGCTCCTGTTATCAAGATAATTCCATCAGAGCTGGCAGTTAAGTTAAAATACATATAAAAGAATCCCACACACCATTTTCAAGAGTTGTTACAGGCAAGTATCTTCATGAATTTGGAATGGGTTTTCAAAAACTGTATCTTGACATTTATTGCTTTTACTTGTAAACCTGAAATCCAGTTTATTCCTTTGAAGAGTGTCAGAAGTAGAGAGTCAGTGAGATGCATGTTTTACTTATACCTTTGCATTCTGGTTAAGAAGAAAGAAAAAGATGGCCCACGCTCAAGAACACACATAACACCTCCATCTACAAAACAGCCTATACAGACTAAAGCAGAACAAGGTAAGTCCTAAAGTAGCAGTATTTAAAAAACATTAATAGGGTAGAAACTTAGCTTATCCAATACATTTGAAAACTTTTTTTCCCTCCCATGTCTGGCCATAGTTTAGCTAGTACGCAAGAGAGTCTGGCTCTCCTGCAGAGAGGAAGAGTTTCTATAGATCAAGATTTCAGAGAGGACCAAGGTGCATTTTACTGACAGAGGCACAGTATATATTCTTCATGTTTACATCTATTTAGACTGCTTCCTGGCTGCTAAAGGAGGAAAGCAAGGTGAGGACAGGAACCCATATTCATGACAAATATTGCACAGTTTTACAGCTTGTCAGCTAAGCCATCGACATCATCTCTGTAGAGACCACTCAAGTGGGAGATTTGGAGGATGCAAGAGAGACCTACTTTTGATACATTCCAGCTCATCTTGCACATCGCCAGCCTGAGCATGCTACCCAGCATCTTGTAAAACTGAGATGAAAGGGGTGTTACTAAGAGACAAATTTGCTACAAGACAGTTTGAGAGACTGCATTCCGTAGGTTTCCATCTCTTCCTCTTCTACCCCCCAGAAGAAGAGACAAGCAAACACATTTAAGTTAGTATGTATTTGTGTAAACACCAGAACATTTTGCTATATGATAGAAAAAAAGTTGCTGCTCTTATGTTCTTAGAGGAGCCCTGAAGACCTTGGAATACCTGTATCCTGCAACTATTACTCTGTACCACGTGCATTTGCTGTTTTGTACACAAACTGAAAGCAAGCTTGAACAATAGTAAATAGCAACTACACTCCTGCAACAGGTAAAAACACCTCGTTGCAGCTGCTTACTCCTTCGCTTTAGATATGTAGTCAGCCAGTTTGTTGATGCTATCCTCTTGCTGTTCTAGAGCATCCAGTATGATGCCCATTGGGGTCTTCTTCAAGCCTATCCCTTCCATCTTGTTCTCCAGCTTGTTCTTTATGTTCCGGAGCCTCAGAGAAGCATGGACAAACATCA